GAATTAGATTTAAATTAAGTTGACACATCAAAACATTCTGTTCATTAATCAGTTTTCATACAAAATAAAAATAGCTTTTTAATGAAAATAATTAACAGGATACAATACCCCTACTGAGTGGATACTAACTTCAAATAAATTCATAGAGAAAGATAAAAATCACTCCATATTTAAAATATCAAATTATTAGTCTGCAAAGTTTCAGCTTTTAAGCATGTATAGTTATTTAGATATTAGACATTTTATGAAAGTAACACCCTTTCAAATAGAGTTAAGCCTCTTTCTGTTAAATATTTGCATGCATTTTTTTTATGTCTATTACTATGTCTACATGCCAGATATAAATAAAAGGGCAATTTATGAAGTGAAAGTCCAAGCATTCAGCATTGATAATATAAGTAGCCAGATGTAAACAGTCTAAAGTGAAGTCATTAAGAAATCTTTCTCTTCTTGTTTTCCAGTCAAGTTTGATCTTCAAAAATTTAAATGCAATATCAGTTGTTATCTTCTGTTTTCTTAATTCCTGTTTTTTTATTGTTCTCTTGCCTTAATACTATTTTACTTTTTCTCATATTCTTTCACACTGAATAAGCCCTTGCATCTTAGTGGCTTTATTGCCTTGCTTGAGTGAAATAATTAAAAAGAAAATTAATACTTTATTTGTATCTGTTCACAGTATATACAATATGAAAGACACAGCATTACACATAATCTAAATATTCCATACTGATTACAGCCAAAAATACTTTACTGGGAGCAAGCTGCCCGCATATGGATAGAGAATGACTTCAGTAAATATCCAAAAATAGGAAGGGGCAAAAGACAAGACAGATGTGTCTTCTGACCAGACCTATTCAACTTTTTGTGGCACACAGTGTCAATACTGATGCAAAAGAGGCCCCAGATTGTGTGTGGACATGTCTGTCAAAACCAGTTACACCTGGGTTTTCCCTGTTAGTAGCAGAACAGCTGAGCATATTCAGATACAGGCCTCTCTGCAATTTGTCTAGATCCAGGTTTCTGTCAACTGTCTCCTGTCAATAAAAGCAATGGGAAAATCAGCAATTAGCAAGATTTGATGGCTTGTGAAGTCAGTCCCTTGGACAGTTTGTTCCTCCTGTTTTAGGAGAGCAAAAATATTGTTGGATAAAAAATTACTAGAATTTATAACAGTTCATGGCTAAGGAGGAGACTCAAATTTCCCTGCTACACCACTGATTACATGAATTCTGTTGGTCTGCCAAAATGGATAATCTGACATATTTCTGGAACCAAGAGTGCCAGAAAATTATTGGTGTGTGGGATTACCCCACCTCGTCTCCCAGGAAAGTTTCTCTTAATGCCGATTAGGTGGCATTATATAAAGCTGTATAAAAAGAAAGGACATAAACATTCTTTCTCTTTTTTTCTCTCCTTACCCACAGGATATACTAATGTCTAATGTAGGCCTTAGAGAATGGAGAAAATCTAGATATTTATTCTCTCTTTCCAAGCACCCCATTAATGCATTTTATTCTAAAGAATCAATGTGTATACTGATACAAGCATGTTCTTTTAGATGCTGAGGATAATTTCAACCCAACTTTCTATTCATGTTGGATGAATGTTTCAAACAGTAAGTTATTTTGGTAAGAAAAAATGTTTTTTTTTTTTGTTTTTTGAATTTGAACCTCAAAATTTTGAAAGACGGAGCAAACCAAACAACTACAATTATGTTGTCCTGCTTAAAATCGCTATAATTACACTCTAAAATGAGGCCACTTAACTAGCATTTTGCAAATCAATATGAAAAGTTACAAATGAAAATTTATATTGAAATAAACAAATGCAAGTCAAATAAATCAATAACTCCAGACCAAATGGTATTCTCATCTTAATTTTGTCTCTTATTTGATGATGGCAATTAACCTCTTTATAGGAATATATAATTAAACCTTCAATTGCATGCAGTAGCATAGCTAGAGTTAGGTGGGGGTCCACCCTGGGTGACACATTTATGGGGGCGGTATTTTGTGTCTGCTGTATAAGCCTGTATTGATAATGAAAGTGGTTTTAATGTCAGGACACTTATTCACTGTTGAAGGACCTTTTCAATTTCCAGTAACTAAAACTATATGTACATATTTAAGCCATTATTATCTTTGCCAACCAATAAACCTTATCAATTGATATATTCAAGGCTGTTTTATCATTGTTGACAATGTGAACGGACCCAGGATGTGTTCTTTTAATGCCACAGCACCACTGTGGGAGACACACCTTGGTTGCTATCATATAAATTTCAGTTATTTTCCTTGACAGAAGTTTGTTTGACGGTATGTGTTGCGCTATTTTTCATCTTTCGGGCCTGTTAATAAAAAATGCACACACACACACACACACACACACACACATGCATGTATGCGCGTGCGCACACACACATGCATGTATGCACGTGCACACACACACACACACGCACGTATGCGCACACACACACATGCACACACACACACACACATGGGAGTGACTGTGTAATATACAGTGCAACCTCGATTTTTGAATGCCTCATATGTTGAATCAATTGGTTTTTGAATAGAAGAAAATTTGAGATGAAAATGCCTCGGTTATCGAACAAAATTTCGGTTCTCGAACAACACTACCAAACCAAGTTAACCTGAACAGAATAATCTTTGAGTTGACTGCCATGTTGTATACATTCGTGTATTGTGTTGCACTTTTTTTTCCCAAGTTTATTGTACTGTGATATTTTTTCTCTACATCAGTTCCTCTTCATAAAATAGTTTTAGTTGACAAACATTTTGTGTTACAAATGGCCTTCAGGAATGAATTAAATTTGTGAACCAAGGTTTCACTCTATTGTATTTTGAGAGGCTGAGGGTAGGGATATGGGTAGCAAACTCAAAGTCTGCCTTGGGCAGCACATACTCTAGCTATGCCACCAGTTGAATGTTAAGCCTATGCATAGAGATTATTAACAATGGTATGTCAGGAAAAATTCAGTAGAGCATAAAAATCATGCAATTTTACTTACATGACTCATTTAATGACAACTAAAATTTTCTCCTTTTGTAGTTTGGCTATAAAACTGCCGTGACGGAAATTCAAGTCATCCGCAGTTAATGGGTTAATTCTGTGAAATAGATGTCATTCAATATTGGCAAAGTATTATGTTGCTTAACTTATAGAAACAACCAGAAATTTACCTTACCACTGTTAGCAGCAATTCTTTCATCTTATTTATAATAATATTTATATAATATAGTAATTATTATTATTTATTAATTAATTATTGATTATTATTTATTAATTATTATTCTTATTTATTTATTTATATTGATATTTACGTTATTTATATAAACGATAAAGTTTGAAAGTAACAAGGGAAAAGGTCGAAGGGAGAGAACTCCGTCGATCTACACTAGTTTCTCCAGAAAACAGGAAATTAAGCATTTTTTTCACAATTTTTATAAAATTAAAAAGATAATAAAAAATTTAACTACTACAAAAAATTTGAACCATTTAAGTATTTAATGGACTATTACTAAAATAATTATATTTGAACTAATTAACTATTTAATGAACTATTACAAAAATATTAGAAGTCATTTAAAAAATTTCTTTATTCTACTTTTTATTTACCAGGTAGAAATTGGTTAAGTGAACATTGTATTTTTATATGTTGACACGCATAATATAGGCATGAAAGAAGTCTTGTTTGTTTGTTTGTTTGTTTGGGTTTTATGGCATATCAACCACTGTGGGTTATTTAATGCCAAATCCAGTTTATATGAATTTTAAATGCCTATTTTGTATGGAATAAAAAACATATAGCTGGCAACATTATTGTTTCAAAAACTTATAGCTGGCAACATCATTGTTTCAAAAACGTACAGCTGGCAACATTATTGTTTCAAAAACGCATAGCTGGCAACATTATGGTTTCAAAATGTATAGCTGGCAACATTATTGTTTCAAAAACTTATAGATGGCAACATTATTGTTTCAAAAACACATAGCTGGCAACATTATGGTTTCAAAAATGAATAGCTGGCAACATTATTGTTTCAAAAAAGTATAGCTGGCAACATTGTTTCAAAAACGTATAGCTGGCAACATTATTTTTCCGAAAACATTATCTGAGGCCTTGCTGTTGGATGTAGTTTATCGCCATACCCAGGACGTGGATGTAAGAAGTCTTGTCTATGTATGTTTATCCCACTATCTTTTGATAGTGTGTTCAATTTTTATCAACTTCATAAATTTAGTTCAGTAATAAACTTTGTGTAGCTTAAATGCATAAAAATTTATGAAAATTCTTTTTTAAACAAATTAATATATATAAGATGGAGCTGAAAAGTTTTCAGCCTGACCCACTTTCCAAAATTTGACCAAATGACCAAACATCAAAACTTTTTAATTCCCTCTTGGGTGGGACAAGAACTTTTCAGCAACTCCTTGTACAGTTGTGAATTTAGCTGATATTTATTTATAGGTTTCCATCTTGAATTTAAAGAAAATTTGTTAGAAATAATTATGTTTATAACTTAATTGTATGCAAATGATCCAAAATATTCCTCCAGAAAATTTCACTATTTTCCTCAAAAAACTTATCTAAATGTTTTCTTTTTTTATTTAGATAAATAGTTAGATAAATAGCTACTTTTAATTTTTTATGATTGTTAATGTATTGAAGTAAATTTGATAAATTGTCAAATTTTTGTGGCTGTTTATTTTTTAAAGTTGTTTTTTGTGGTAGTTTTTCTTTTAGGATCATTTATTTTTAGTGTTTTTAAAGTTGTTTTTTTTAAAAATAGGTTATTTACTTTTATTTTTTAAAGGTTGTGTAATGAAAACAGGACAAGAGATTCTGTCTAGTAATCGTTTATTCAATTAAGAATACTACTACTCATCTGACTTGACAGCGGAAGTATACAGCTTTTATAGCTTGGATTATCTAAGAGGAGATAATCCATATTCACAAATTCTCCCCACCAAATTTCTCACTGATAGGGAAGAAAGTCCCTTAAATGTCCAGGCTCCCCACGAGTTCGTAGTGGCCGCCTCATCAGTCCATGATTCGTGGTCGGAGTACTCGAACAGGGAGGCTCTTCAGTGCGAGCCTGTCTGTGGACTCTAAAATACCTTGCTCCGAAATGTTTCCTTCTCAGAGGAGCAGGCCGTTCCGCGTCAGAGTCAGTCTCTGGATGAACACGTTTATTCGGTGCTAACCCTTCATCTGTCAGGGTTTCAGGTGTTGGCCCATCCGAAGTGTCTGACGGGGCCTCAACGGAGACAGGAACAATTTCAGTGTCATGATCTTCCGGAGGGGCTTCAGTGTCAGGGGTAGTTGGTCTGTCCTCAGGGGCTATCCACGATCCGGTACGTCTCCGGCCGGTGCTAGGTCCCTGAGAGACACATTAGACTCTCTACCATCTGCATGTCGTACTAGCGCGTACCGAGGGTTCGCCTCTATAAGCTCTACCTCGTCCACCAAGGGATCGTTCTTGGTGTAACGTGCATGTCGTCTCAGAAACACAGTACCGGGTCGAGAGAGCCAAGATGGAAGCGAAGCTCCCGCCGAACTCCGTCGCTGAAAAGGTAGAAACCTTTCGTGTGGGGTGGCATTCGTGGCGGTACACAATAGGGAACGAATGGCGTATAATGCGACAGGAAGGAGATTTTCCCAATTATCAATTGAACATCCGTTATTTGAGGCAGCCAATTGAACGGTCTTCCAAATAATGCCGTTATATCTTTCGCATTGGCCGTTACCCTTAGGGTTGTAGGGAGTTGTCCGGCTTATAGCTACTCCTCGTTCCTGTAGAAATTGCCGAAGCTGCTCTGACATGAAAGAAGCCCCTCGGTCCGAATGTATATAGGCAGGGGCTCCAAAGATGGCGAACAGTGAGCAGAGGCATTGTATAATTGCAGCAGCCGATATGTCTGAACAAGGGAAGGCAAAAGGAAACCGTGAATATTCGTCGATAACCGTTAATATATATCTGTTCCTTGTTTTACTTGGTAGCGGTCCTTTAAAATCAAGATTGAGTCTTTCAAACGGTTGTGTTGCTTTTATTAAAACGCCAGTTTGGGGTTTATAAAACCGAGGCTTTATTTCAGCACACGTTCGACAAGAATTTGTAATTCTTTTTACCTCCTCCACTGAGAAAGGCAAGTTTCTACACCTCACAGCATGAACCATTCGAGTAATGCCCGGGTGACAGAGATTGTTATGTAGCGTTCGGAGTTCGTCCCCGCTTGATGCCGTACAGCATGCTCTTGACAGTGTATCAGCTGTTAAGTTCTCCTTGCCAGGTCGGTAGCTGACGTCAAAGGAGAAACAAGATAGCTCAATTCTCCACCTCGCTATTTTCTCATTCTTTATTTTACTCGTAGTTTTAGAGTTGAACATAAAAGCAACTGATTTCTGGTCAGTAATAAGTTTAAAGTGGCGTCCGATCAGGTAGTGTCGCCATTTTCTTAATGCCTCGACTATGGCGTAGGCTTCCTTTTCAATTGCGGGGTGTCGTCGTTCAGCCTGTGAGAGGGTCCTTGAAAAGAAGGCTACAGGACGATCAGCTTGTTTCAAAGAAGCAGCAATAGCACAGTCTGACGCATCCGTTTCAACAACCAGAGGAATATTTTGGTCTATTGTTGTAATTGCAGATTTCGCAATATCCTTTTTCAGTCCCTCGAATGCCCTCAACGGCTTGATGGGACAGAGGAAACGTCTCTACTTGTGTCAATGGATGTATCTTTTCTGAGAACGAAGCAATCCATTGAGAGTAATGAGCAAACATGCCCATAGCACGTCGAAGGAAGGCTGGTTGTGAGGGACAGGCATCTGGAGTAAAGGTTTCAATCGATCTGCGTCCGGTGCCATAAAACCTTTGCTTATGGTATACCCCAGTAGGTTTATTTTGTCCAGTCCAAACGAGCATTTGTCGTCGTTTAGGTAAGGTTGTATTTATCGACGGCGGACATGAACCGTCTGAGATTTTCGTCGTGTTCCTTTCTATTATGGCCACATACTGTGACGTTGTCGATGTTCGCAAATGTGCCTTCCAGTTTCTCATCCGTTATGATTTGGTCGACTATCCTTTGGAAGCTGGCTACCCCATTCGTAACGCCAAAAGGAATCCTGCGAAATTGATATAGTCGACCGTTCGCCTCGAAAGCAGTGTATGGCTTATCTCTAGGTCTAATGGCGATCTGATGGTACGCGCTTTTCAAGTCCAGAGTGCTAAACATACGATATTTGGCTATTTCGCCTATCATTTCATCTATCCTGGGTAGTGGGAAGGCGTCCAAAAGAGTAAATCTATTTATGGTTTGGGAGTAATCTATAACCATTCTCTTTTTATGGTTGCTAGAAGTGGTTATAACTACCTGAGCCCTCCAGGGTGATTTGCTAGGCTCAATTATACCCTCCTCAAGTAGTCTTTTTATCTCAGAGTCAATGAATTTTTTTTATTATTATAAGAAAAACGTCTGCTTCTCACTGCTATGGGTTTGCAGTTTTCAGTTAGGTTTTCGAAAAGTGACGGGTACTGGTTTTTTTTTTGCTGTCGCCAATTCACAAATTTTCAATGCGGGCATTAAACCGCCAAACGGAATTTCAACCTGTGAGTGTTGCTGCAAAAAATCGTGTCCCAGTATTATTTCGCAACAAAGGGTTTTCATTACGGATAATTTAGTGGTTTTATAGGAGACGTCATTAAATAGTAAGTCCACCAAACAATAACTACTTACTTGCGCAGACAATGACGCGTTTGCCATTGTTACTCTGCTGGGGAGGGGACAAAATACAATTTGTTGGTTTTACCAAGCTTTCTTTGATAAAATTTCCTGAGCTCCCGGTATCGAGCAGGGCATTTGTAGACCTCCCGTTAATTTTCACTTTTACAATAGTTTTTGAAAGGCAGTCGGGGAAGGCGGCTAAAGTTGCAGAATTATTTTGACGAGTGGATTTGTATAGAGTTTTAGAAGACTTGCATACCTTTGAAAAATGACCAAGTTTTCCACATTTATGACAACGAGTATCTCTGGCAGGGCATGAGACTCGTAGGTGTTTAGATAAGCCGCAAAAATAGCAAGTGTCCTTTTTAAAGCGGCAGTGACCGATTGTTCTTGAAGCTTCGTCGGACTATCGTCATGAGGGGGACAGTAAGAACAGGTGGGTTTAACGCGGCGCCCACGGTGTCTGGCTGTAAATAAGAACTAGACTGCTGTATAGCACTTTCGAAGATATAGGCTTGCTCGTAAGCTGTTTTAAGTGTAAGGGTCTTATTCTCAAGAAGACGTTGTCTTATCTGAGTATTGCGTAAGCCGTTAATGAAGGCGTCCAAAATGTGTAGCTCTTGGGCCTCTAATGCCGTCATTGGGCAGAAGTTGCAATCTTTGCTCAGTGTCCGAAGGCTCTTAAGGAAATGGTCCAATGTCTCGCCTGATTCTTGTCGGCGAGTCGCAAGTAGGTGTCTAGAAAATATCTCATTTTTGGGCTTTATGTATGTAGCGTTCAGTACATCGATTGCTTCTTCGTAGGTAACGCAATCCGAGATAATTTCGTTGACTGTGTGAGACAGGTAGTTGGTTAGGAGCGCACGCTTATTGATGGGACGTCCCGGTCTTTCTGAATGTAGAACCTCGATGAAATTTGTAAATGTCTCCCGCCAATGTTTCCAGCACTTGTCGGCTGAATCGCTTTCTGGATCTGTGGTAAGTCGCTCAGGTCGCATAAATTGTTCCATTCTTAATTGAATAAAATGTAATGAAAACAGGACAAGAGATTCTGTCGAGTAATCGTTTATTCGATTAAGAATACTACTATTCATCGATATTGAGTCACCCCCCCACCACGAGGGTGTCATGTGGCACAAGGCCTTTTTAACGTGGGCATTCCCGAGCCATTAGGGTCGGCCAAAAAATAGCCCATTTGAACCCGTAATTGTTTTACCTCCCGAAGGAGACTCCGCCCTTTAGCCTCCTTCGGGTTAGAATACTACTACTCATCGATATTGAGTCACCCCCCACGAGGGTGTCATGTGGCACAAGGCCTTTTAACGTGGGTTCCCGAGCCATTAGGGTCGGCCAAAAATAGCCCATTTGAACCCGTATAAACGGTTTCAGGGCCGGTTTTACCTCCCCGAAGGAGACTCCGCCCTTCGGAAGAGAGTTCAAACCGAGCAGTCTGTTCAAAAGTGAACTACTGACTCAATACTACTTTATTTATTGTACTATGTACAAATGTGGCACAAGGCCGAAAAGGGGGCTGGGGGAAAGGACGGCCATCACTTGTCTTAGAAAAAAACTTAGCTAGCCACAACCACTGACCCTATCATACTAAACAATATTCCTATCACCAAAACAACACATTTATCCATACCTTTCTTACTACATCCACCAAAATGCCTCTTTGACTCAATGAAAATCCTAAATACACCCCTTATATACAAATATTGTCCGTGGGGGAGGGGGGCATAAAAACAACAACTTTTAAAAAATCCCCAATGAGTATATACAATATGTCGAAATATATTTACAAGAAACTAAACAAAATCAGTGTTAGTATTAAAACCCCCACAAACTTTGAATGTGGCAGAAATATCAGTTAACCGGACGAAATCGATGCGGGACTATGAAAATAAGGACACATTCATACCGTCAAGCACTCACACACAAGCACACACTCATTCATACACAACAACAAATACGAAAGCACACGCACGAAACGAAAGGCGCCCCGCATCCACCAGAGAACTGACATCACTGACCACCTAAACGAGGGAGGGGACGGGGAGTTAAACTAAAGGAAGAAAAATGGGGACAGAAATAAAAGGGGACCAATGAGCAAACACACCCTAGCTAAGTTTATCAGAACAGGAAAGAAAAACTAAAGGAAAAATACAAACTCCTATTCTAACCTAATTTCGGGATGGGTTGCCCATGTTCAACCCAGTAAAACAATATCCTGATGCCTAACCGACATCAAAATGCCACTCCAAGTCAGCCCCTTTCACACGGCACAAACGCGCAAGATTCACCCACCTTTTGCTGAATTCCGATGAGGAGAGCCGCCGCCTTTCCGTCCTAATCTTGACTTTAAGCTGATGCTTAAAGTACAAGATCAGTTGGGAAGAGGTGAACTTCTCGCCCTCATGGAATCCCTTCTGACGCGTCGTCCAAATCACGACTCTCATAACCCCTAGTAAGCAACAGAACACATAGTGTTCAGCCTTCGTCAATTGCGGCACCACATTGCTACAAACAGAGCTAGCTTCAAGGACAAAAAACTTTCCCTGCAACATGCGAACCATGAGGCCTTCAACAAACTTGCACAACGGCACTACCGCCTTGCACCGAAAAAAGGCGTGACCAATGGTCTCGACTTCCCCAGTACAGCGACGACAGTTTGGATATTTCTCCAAGCCTGCTGAACAGAGTCTCTTGCCGACCCAGAGGGCTTCACGAATCACCAGCCAGGTGAGTGATGCCTCATCGTTATTGAGGCATTTCAACCCAGGCGCCCAAAGGCCATATCGAGCGAGCCTCCTGCTTCGTAAGACCGAGCTCGCCAATTAGATCATCTTGTGCGGCCCCCTAACTAATACTTGATACAATGCCTTACGAGACAACGTCTGGGCGTTGGAGAGGCCAACCGTAGCCCGCAAGAGGAGCTTCAGAGCGCGACGACATTCACGATAGAAGGAACACTCGGCACGTGGTGTACGGCCGGCCTCCTCTTCGCACGAGTGTACACTTCTCAGGGACGGGAAATGTTTCTGGACGTCTTCTTCCAAAAGGCGCCCTCCTCATTCGACCCGCGACATTCGGTCTAGAAAGGTGATGCGAAGCATATGTTGACGAATCTCAATGCTAGGCATACCCAGACCGCCCTCCGAGGGATGAAGGCAACAGATCTCGCGACATACCATATGGGCCTTGCCTCTCCACAAGAAAGAGAACAAGACCTTGACTAACGACCTTAGTCGGGCAGACGGAAGTGGAAGCACAGAGAGTCGGTACAGGAGAATTGGATATATGTGTGAAACACATACTTCCGCCCTTCCCTTCAGGGAAAGGCTCCTCCGAGACCACAGATTAACCGCGACCTCGGCCTTCCCTTGCACCTCCGACCAATTCATTTCCAACTGGAGATCAGGACCGAACCAGACGCCGAGTATCTTGATCGGCCCATCCGTCCAGAGGAAAGGTCCGGGAAGAGAAACTCCCTTCCACGCACCCAACCGCAAGCCCACAGACTTATCGCGGTTGATCTTGGCCCCTGTCACCATCTCATACCCACTGATCTCCTTGCTGACTTCGTTAATCTCGGCTCTGCTCGACACAAGAACCGAAACGTCGTCAGCATAGGCTGAATACCTGGCCGAGGTGGAAGCACCAGGCAGCGAAATTCCGCGCAGGACCGGATTCACCTTTAACTTGCGAAGGAATGGTTCCAACGCAAGAACGTAAAGCATAGGTGAGAGCGGACAACCTTGACGAATGGAGCGAGACAATACGAAAGGCTTCGATCTTACCCCATTCACTTCCACCAGCGCACCGGGGGTCGCATACAAAAGTCGGATCCAGGAGCGAAAGTCGGCTCCGAAACCGGCCGCCGAAAGGACAGCTTCCAGAAATCGATGGTCAACCCTATCGAAGGCCTTGGACTGATCCAAATTGATCAGCGCGGCTTCACTGTCGACTTGTTCTACAAGCGTACCATGTGAAGGTTATCCTGAATAGTCCTGCCCTTCACAGCACAAGTCTGTTCGGGGCCAATCAGACGAGACAGGACAAGCTG